GTTGCAGCGTACGACGAGGTGTTTGGCCGTCTCGCGAGCTTGCCACGAGGCTAAGTTGCTAAAAGCTTCAAATGACACTATATTTTGCTGAAATGGTGCATCAATCGTATCTTCACACTATATCCGTGTGCTACATCATTGTTTGCTGTTGCTCGCCCGCCCCATGGTCGGCCAACGCTGCTGGAAGGTAGGCAGTGACGATGGGTGTACTTCCACCTCGAGCTACAAGCGTAGCTGGCGGTGCTATGGCTCCACGTGACAGGCGCATCGCTGAACGAGACCGCGCGCCTCCGCTTCCTGTGGCCACCGCCCCGCTACCTTCTCGAGGACCCCAAAGTGCCCATAACGTTCGCGCTCGATGGGCCCAAGACGAACGGGTACATTCGCTTCTCGAGCGCCAAGCTCGATGGTATGATCGACATCCACACGCCCGAAGTGGCCATCATGGACATTGAGCCGGGCACGCATTGGATCACGGCCGAGGCGCTCACGACCACCTTGAGACCCATCGGACCACCGGCGGTGCTTCAGATTGAGCGCATTTTATCGCGCTCCGAGCTCTACCGAGACGCGGTGCAGGCCAAAACGACAGTGCTAGCACTGCCAGCGGTCGCGGCCGCGCGGCCAGCAACGCGCCGGCTCTGCTTTGTCGCGTCCGCGACGCCCATGGACGGTCAGAAGCGTATTTGGCTGCGCCTCATGGCGTCGCTGCGTCGTCACCCCACGACCGCCTACTCGTTCCACGTACGCAGCTCACTACAACAAAGTGATTCGCAAACATCGCGTAGATCTTCATCTTGGAGCACAAGTCGCCCAGTCGACCCAACGTCTTTTCGCCCGAGGGTCTACCCGTGACGTACGCGCCCATGACGGTAGTCGAAGCATCGACTACACTGCAGTCGAGAAATTAGTCCAGATATAGTGCTCTCCACTAAACAATCGTAGGTGACCGAGGAGACGGCTCGGCAGTACAACCTCACGTCCAATGTGACCATGGGCCAGCTCGCCAAGTTTGCTACATCCAACGACAAAGCGCACCTCCCGACCTACCTGCATGAGCTCTGGGCCACGTACTTGACTACGTTTGCACCTTGCAAGGGTGCGGTGCTCGTCTTTGCCAACTCGCGCGACTATGGCGACACCGTCTTGGCCCACGTCGGGCGCGCGATCGGCGCTGCCGGTGTCGTTCTGGAGCTATCGAGCGTCTTTCCCATGCCAAATACCGTCGACGTGCTGCTCTCGCCGTCACAATACGCACTGTCGCACCCGAGTGTGGTGACTGCGGTGGATGCGACGCTGCCGCTCGTGGTTCCGCCTGGCGTTGACCCGACGCTCTTTGCTCCCGCCGCCAGCGCACCGTATAACGACTGCATTGTTGTCGGCTACCTCGGTCGCATTGCGCCAGAAAAGTCCCTCGGCCTCTTGGCACGGGCCATCGAGCTGCTCGTCGCCATCGACCAAGGGCGCTGCCTCGCGTTTCGGTGGGTCGGCGACGGTGCAGACACTGCGCACTACAAGCAGTATCCCATCACGCTGCTTGGCACGATTCTCGACGAGGCGACGCTCGTCCACGAGCTCCAGTCGTGGGATCTGGCTGTGCACATGGGCCTCCGCGAGACGTATGGCATCGCTAACGTTGAGGTCATGGCCGTCGGGATACCGCTTGTCTGCTTTGGTGTGGCCGGCCTCACCGAGTACGTTCGACACGACGAGAACGCGTGGGTCGTCGACGAGGTGTCGCCCGACGCGCTCGCCAACGCGATTCACAAGCTGGCGAACGACCCAAGCCTGCGCCAGCGGCTCGGCCACGGCGCTCGGCAGACGATCGAGAAGCGTTTCACGTGGGCGCAGACAGTGGCCGCCTACGACGAAGTGTACGGCCGTCTTGTGGCCAAGGCGGCGCGAAAAATGACCACCAATACGTCATCTTGAAGCCGTGAAGCTGGCCTTTCCGGTTTCAACACCACAGCATTTCCGATCTTTCAAACTATTTCCGTAATCTTTACATTATTTCCGTAATCCTTACACTATTTCAAAAGCAAAAAAGATCCATCGACCGACCATGATGCTGGGCTGGCGCTGGCTGGTAAGCACTGTCGCGGTGGCAGGAAGCGATGCTGCAACTGCGTAGGTCGGCTTCAACATAGCGCTCGTCGTGGCGCAGAGTGAGAATGCGACGGCGGCGGTGCGATTTCTGTGGCCTCCGGTGGGCCACATGGAGCCATCGTCGAGGCTACTCGTGCGCTTTGACGTGCCATCCAGCGACGGGTACATTGCATTCTCTGGCACCAAGATCAATGGCGTCTTACGCGCACATCCTGATACAATTGCGCTGGACAACATGGAGCCAGGCTCGCATGTGGTCGTGGCGCAAGTTCACGATGAGCAGCACGCGCCACTCGGCCCGCCGTCCGTACTGCGCGTCGAGCGCGTCGTCTCGAGAGCCGAAGCCGACGCGCAGCGCCGTCACAGTGCCAAGCCGCGCGTGTGGCTGACCGCGCTTCCATCTGTCGCTGCGAGCCGCCCGACGCAGCGAACGCTGTGCTTTGTCGGCTCGAACGGCCAGTTTGACGGTCAGCGGCAGCTATGGCTGCACGTGATTCAGGGTCTCGCACGCCACCCCTCTGTGACGTACGCATTCCACGTACATGCTTGATGCCATTGGGAAGTGTACAGCTGCATGCGCGTGTAGATGTTTCGCCTCGAAGATCCATCGACGCGCTTTGACCCGTTCGCAGACATTGGCGTGCAAATCACATACGCACCGATGCAAGTCTCACTGGAGGAGGCTGCCGCGTACCAGCTCACGCCCAACTCGACAATGGAGGCCATCGTCAACTACGTTCTGGGCGGCGGCTCCGATGTGCCCGCGCACATTCCGCGGCTCTGGGCGACGTACCTCCACACGTTTGCACCGTGTCAAGGCGGCATTTTGGTGCTCGCCAACTCGCGCGACCATGGCGACCGCCTCCTCACCGTCGTCGCCAAGCACGTGGGCGCGCGCGGCGTTCTCTTTGATCTCTCGAGCATCTTTCCGGTGCCAAATACGGTCGACGCGCTCATTGGCCCATCAACCTACACGCTATACCATGCGAGCGTCACAAACGCCATCACTGCGCGACACCGCCACGTGATCCCACCCGGCATCGACGCAAGTGTCTTTGCTCCTTCTTCCAAGCGCCAAACGACACCGAGCGACTGCCTTGTCGTGGGCTACCT